ACCTGAAGCACCACTTTAGCTAATGGGGCCTCCCGCTGCTTCCGCGCCGCCGGAGTACGATTTCTGTTCTTATCCTGAAGCAAAGTTCTTAACCCGAGGTACTATTTCTGGGTTAGCGGAGTGTGTAACCTGAAGCGTATGTAACCTGAAGCGTATGTAACCCGAGGTACCACTGTATTGTTATGGTTGCTAGTTAGTCGCTTTGCTCTAAGAAATGTCTCAAAGGGACTACAAACACAACAGAAATACGAAAACCGGTTGTAGTAAACACAGAGGTAGGATGAGAGGGGGATGCGTTGGTCAAAATCCTTGCATTGAATTGGGCTGCCAGGAAGCAACCCCAGGGAGAACGTTTCCTAGCTGGGATGCGACAACTGAGAAGACCCTCTCCAGTCACCACCCATGTAACCTTACATGGCAGGGGTGCCTGGGGAATGGCTTCAGGAGCAGTTGCAATGTTCTGTTTTGCATTTTTTACATTTTCCATTTAAAGTACCCTTTTTGCCAGTAAAATAATTGGCCCACTTCAAGGTTTTAACTTAACTTGGCCCTGCAGCTCCCAGTCTCTGCAGCCTGCTTTGGCCGCAGTGTTCCACAGTGTACTTATTTAATCATGATTAACAAGGACAAATGGCTACACACCGGCTAAGGAAGTATCGTTGGTGCTAAATAGGCATTTTAGGTGTTTTTCCTTATTGCTGGAGTCTTAACGTTTCAGTGTTTTATATCTTCTCACATTGAAGCATGGAGAAACTATTGTAATTTCTTACAGGATTTCACACATCCGGCCTGCAGCCACTAGAGTGCACTAGAAATCTATTTTCCACCTCTTCCGGAATAAAACTAGGATTGTTTGTATCTGTTTCCAAACTGAAAATCACTTCAGAATATAGTCATACCTCATGTTTCGTTTGCTTCAGATTGTGAGTTTTCAGGTTGCATCCAGCGGTGACCCGGAAGTACCAGAAAGGGTTACTTCCGGGTTTCGCCACATGCGCAGACGCGCAAAATGACCGCATGCGCAGAAGCTGCAAATCATGACCTACAGATGCGGGTTGCGTTCTTTTCAGGTTGCGAAGGGGCCTCCGGAACGGATCCCGTTCGCAAGCAGAGGTTCCACTGTACTGTATTGAGCTTGCATTCTGTTCTAAGGAGCCCCCAGTGTTAGTTTAAGTACAGTAATTAGATGAGACTCTGAAAATTGTTTTGTGTGCGTGGTTTTTCACCCTCCCCTCCTCGTAGTGGTTGTGACAGCAATGGAGAGATTCAGAAGAAGGGCTCCCTTCAGTCCCTTAGTGCTGACATCCTAGACTCAAGGGACCATAGGTTTGTAGTTCCCATGGCTCCTGGGCATGTGAGGAGCTATGGGAACTACATTTCCCTTGGCCCATTGTAGCTAGGCCTAACAGAGGTTCCATTTTGAACCTTCCAGGAAGAAATTGCTTCCTCACGAAGTACACACTTAAACTGGAGAGAACTCTCTCCCACAAGGAGGCAGTGATAGCGACCAACTTGGACAGCTTTAAAAGAGGATTAGTCCAGTTCATTGTGCTTTGCCGCCACAATCGGAGACAGTATCTTTCTGAAAAGCAGTCGCTGGAAACCGCTAGAGGGGGACAGTGCTCCTGAGCTCAGGTCCTACCTGTAAGCTTCCTGTGGGCATCTGGTTGGCCATTGGGAGAACAGGGACTGTGTTTGAGGTGGTCTAAGGGCTCTTTTGTGTTTAAAACTGTGCTGCATGTTTTACACATTGCTGTTATTACCGTTCGTTTACTGTTCCACCTCCAAGGTGTGTGTATCACATCATGCCATTTCTCCAGTGTTAGAAACTCATATGCACAAGCTAGGTGCCAGATGGCTCCTTAAAACCAAGGTTGCAGGTGCCAGAAAGCTGTCATTTTTGGCCAAGAAGGCTCTAAAGTCTTCTTTTATTATTTTTAAGGATGGGCTGTCTTTCACTGATTATCAGTTAAACATCTGGCTAGTTCGGATGACAAGCTTGAGCTAGGTTAAGAGCTTTGAGAACTTTATCCAGTGACAGTCCACATATATATTTGTCTACTCCTACACCTTTTTTTTCTTAATGGTGACACGGACCATTCAAAATGTAAGAATATTCTGCACAACTGTGAGCAAGGCAGTGGACTGGAGTAAGTGAAGGCAAGCTACAACAATTAGCTATGATGTTTTTCATTGCTCCTTCTCAGACTGCACAGAAAAAGCGTTTCGCTTCCAGAAATTCGTTCTGATGGTGCAGATGAAACATAACTGATAGAATTCTACGGGATGTGGTGTGAGAAAACAGCCAAGATCCAAAACTCCCCAGGCATGCACCTCCAGCTGGTGATGTCAGGCGCCATCCTGGCACCCAGGCATCTTCACTTGGACGCAAGCGGTCAATAGTCAGGCACAAAATGCGCCTGGCGCCTGGCTAACTTCAAACACTGCATTTCTCCACCCAGCCCTCAAAAACTCTTGAGAGGAAGTATTACCCCAAAAGTCCCCAAGTCGGCCAGTGAGATCTATGGTTAAGGGAGGATATGTACTCATATTTTCCCGGTCCTGATATTGTATCTGCTACTCAACCCTGCCACATACAACTCCACAGCTTTTTAGACGTGCTTTTTATCTACCATGTTTTTGCTGGTCGCCCATAAGTTGTCACAGTGCAGGTAGATAATGAACAGTTGCCTGTTGCAATGCCAATCAGGCAGCGAGATGGATGTCAGGAGTGCAGGCAAGCCATGCATTGGTTTTCTCTTTACTGGATTCACTGGATGCTTTTTCTGTTTGTTAGCTTATACCACGGGATTCACACACACGCCGCCCTCCACAGCTGGCTTCCATATACTGCAAAACCCACAGGACATCTGCTCTTTCACTTCTCCTGACTTCCAGTTCATTATAGCACACTGCACTTGCCAAGCCATTAAAAAAAAAGTTACTGCTCTGGAAAAATCATTTGTGCGTCTTGGTTTTTCAAGACTAGGTTGGCCACCCTGCTTGTTCTGAGCTCTCTTAAACACAGAAGCTGAGAAGCAGCAACGCAGGCTGTAGACTAGATCAGTGGTTCCAAATTGGTGGCCGGTGGACCCCGGGGGGGTCCGCATAACCCACACAGGGCGTCCTTGACACCATTCACATAACAAGAGCTATTACAGAGACACCAAGTTTTTCAAACATTAGGGGCTACATAGCTTGGCTTTTGAAAAAACAGGGGGTCTGCAGTACTTACCGTATTTTTTGCTCTATAAGACGCACCCGACCATAAGATGCACCTAGTTTTAGAGGAGTAGAACAAGAAAAAAAATATTCACTCCCTCTCTGCTCAGCGCCTCTCCAGCAAAGCGGGAGGAGAAACGGAAGGGGCTCCATTTCTCCTCCCGCTTCGCTGAAGGGGCGCTGCGCAGAGAGGGAAAGCTGCACAGTGCCTCTCCAGTGAAGTGAAGCCAGGAGAGCAAGAGGGATCGGTGCGAAGCCTCCTAAGCACAGTGGGAGCGCTCCTGCTGCGCTCAGGAGGCTTTGGGAGGCTATCCCTGAAGCCAGGAGAGCAAGAGGGATCGGTGTGCACCGATCCCTCTTGCTCTCCTGGCTTCAGCGAAAGCTGCGCAGCCTGCATTCGCTCCATAAGACGCACACACATTTCCCCTTACTTTTTAGGAGGGGAAAAGTGTGTCTTATAGAACAAAAAATACGGTAGCTAATTGGGTACCACTGATCTAGGTCAGGGGTCTGCAACCTTTAAGACAAAAAGAGCCACTTGGACCCGTTTTCGAAGGGGAAAAAACTGGGAGCCGCAAAACTTGTCATTATAAAAATAACTTTTTTGTCACTTTTTTATTATTTATTTGTTTGACCCCTCAGAATTACTCCTCCTCATAGAAATAAATGTTAAATTAACAAGTTACCTTTTTTGTGTGTGTGTTCTTCACTCCCCTTCAAAACAGTGACCAGCGTACATGCCCCTTACAATGTAGCGGGCGGGCGGGAAGGTGATGTCGGGATGGTGCGTGACTAATGTACGCACCGCCCCCATGCGGCGTCACAGCCAGTACAGTGCCCGCCACAGTGGGGAGTGTCGGGGCGCACAATGCGCCTCCTCCCCTCGCTAGTATCCGCCCCGGAGCCGCGGCAAAGGTGTAAAAGAGCCACATTCGGCTCCGGAGCCGCGGGTTGCAGACCCCTGGTCTAGGTGATAATGATGATGATGGTGGTGGTGATGTTTTGATCGAGTCTGCCCGAGTGGCAAAAAAATCAGGAATTATAGCAACTAATCCCTGTATCTTATGAAGTTCCTCTCCATTAAAAGGAGTCTCATTAACATAGTCTATTTTTATTGATGTTAGCTCCTGACAGGAAAGTACAACCACTTCCTCTCTTGCCTGCTCAACCCCTGATGTCGGTGCTGACCAGCATCATAGTGCTACATGGAAATTTGCTCCTTGGTTCCCTTCGTTCCTTTCGGTTGAAAACATCACTAGCATTTATTTGGATTTTATCATGGGTTGCCAAGGCAGGTTGAAACAATAAAATCACCTATCAAAAAAACAGTTACGACTGTAAAATAAGAGAAGCAGAAAACAATTACAAACATTTCCATACATAAAAACAGTGGGAAATAGTTCCAGTGCAGATGCAGGCTGTGATAAAGGCTTTGTTGAAAGAGGAAGGCAATCTGTAGGCTCCAAAAAGACAGCAGAGGCAGCAGCTGTCTATTACGGAATGGGAGGAGGGGATTCCAAACGGTATGTGCAACCACGCTAAAGGCCCTGTTTCTATATCATATGGAATGGACTTCCTGGTAAGGCAGAGTCTGCAAGAGACCCCCTTCTGCAGAGCACAGTGATCGACCGTGTATATAAAGGGTGAGGCAATCGTGAGGTAAAATGTTTTATGGCAAGTTGTTAGAAACGCCAACCCTCCATTCTTTTTTGCATGTGCTTTTACCCATGTGTGTGCACTGCTTCAGTGCCATTTATGCCTGTTTCTGTTCGCTACAGATGTAGAGATCTTCTCGTCCACAACAACCTTCCCACCACCAGCATCATCATATGCTTTGTTGACGAAGTGTGGTCCACCCTCTTGCGCTCTGTTCACAGTGTCCTCAACCGCTCCCCTCCTCAGTTTATTAAAGAGGTTATTCTGGTGGATGACTTCAGCACAAAAGGTTGGTTGGTGTTTCCCAGTGTGTTTCGGCTTACTGAGTGTCCTGTTTTCCAAGCTGTTTTGCTCTTTTAAAAATGCTGTCGGGTTTTTTGTTTTGTTTCATTTTTAAGGTTGCCGTTTATTTATTTAGAAAATTTGCTCAAAAGAATCGCAAAGAAGAAAACAAAACTCAGACCAATTCAATTATATATAAACCATGACTAAAATACACAAACCCAATGAAAAAATAATGTGTGTAAAACTATCACTAAATACCAAGATAAAAACAATAAAACAAATGTAACTTAATACAAGTGGTTGTTGTGATATTCTAGTGAAATTCTGTTGCCTTACATTTCCTTGTGAACTCAAACTGGTTTGGTTTTGTTTGGTTTGGTTCCTATAGATGACATTTTATTTCTATATACCAAAAAAAAAAAGACAATTAGAATACAGTTGTACCTTAGAAGTCGAACGGAATCCATTCCGGAAGTCCATTCAACTTTCAAAACGTTTGGAAACCAACACACGGCTTCTGATTGGCTGCAGGAAGTTCCTGCAGCCAATCAGAAGCCACGGAAGCCCTGTTGGACATTCGGCTTCCAAAATAATGTTTGAAAACTGAAACATTCACTTCCAGGATTCAATCATTCGGGAGCCGATTTGTTTTGGAGCCAAGGCATTTGAGATCCATGGTGTGACTGTATGGGTATCCTGAAAGTAAGGACCCCTGACCGTTAGGTCCAGTTGTGGACAACTCTGGGGTTGCAGCGCTCGTCTCGCTTTATTGGCCAAGGGAGCTGGCGTACAGCTTCCAGGTCATGTGGCCAGCATGACTAAGCCGCTTCTGGCGAACCAGAGCAGCACATGGAAAGCCGTTTACCTTCCCGCCAGAGCGGTACCTATTTATCTACTTGCACTTTGACATGCTTTCGAACTGCTAGGTTGGCAGGAGCAGGGTCCGAGCAATGGGAGCTCAGCCCGTCGCAGGGATTCGAACTGCCGACCTTCTGATCTGCAAGCCCTAGGCTCTGTGGTTTAGACCACAGCACCACCCACGTCCTTTATCCTGAAAGTGTATTTGGCCTGAAAGAGGACAGACCAGGGACCACTGTTCTGTGGGGTGGTTTCTTCTGATAATCATAGATTTGATTCTGCCTCTTACTGGGGCCTTATGGCAAGTCCATCATTCAATCCAATGCCCTTACTCAATGCAAGGAATCCATAGCTAGAGCATCCCAGCAGATGGGTGACCAGTCTTCTTGGAAGACCTCCGGTGAGGAGGAGCCCCAGTTCCACCCCTCTGCTAATGGTTCTGGTGTCAACTGTTCTTAATGTTAAAATGTTTCTTGTAACGTTCAGTTGAAATCTTATGTGAGTTATTACTTCTCCACTCAGCTTGAGAGAAACCGCTATGTAGTTGCACTATGGATGCAGCTTAAGAAATGCTAACTTTTGGAGGATTATGGAAAGGAAAGAAATGTGTCAATTAGTGCTTAAAAAGCAAAGTATTTTTGGGAGGCGACAATTCATATGTAATGAAGGTAACATGGCAGCAAGTGAGTGTTGGGTGGGGAGCCAGGGGAAGGGGGTCCACCGTCCCTGTCATGGCTGTCAGAAGAAGGGAACCAGTGTTCGTTTTCCACTGTCTCTCCTCCAGCAATCTGAACAAGTGGCAGTGGCTGAGGGCTGGTTGGTTCCTCTTTATTTCTTGCTCATAGGCACGAATCTGTGGTCCATTTCCTTGCTTCTCTTCTGTTCTGTTTTAGCATACCTCAAGGACAAACTAGACCAGTACATGGCCCAGTTTCCCAAAGTCCGGATCCTTCATCTCAAGGAAAGGCATGGTTTAATACGAGCTAGACTAGCGGGAGCAGAGATTGCCAAAGGTAAGAAGAGTTGCATTTTATCATCAAAGTGCAGTTTGTTATTTGCTGTTGTTGTTGTTTAAAAAAAGACAGAAGTCACTGGAAGCAATCCAGTGGAAATTTGACTCATTGCACTGACATCTGTGGAACTAAATGGGTCCAATCAGAAGTTAAGTGCCATTCTGCTAAATGGGGCTCTCTCCCAGAAAAGGGTGCGTAAGAATATAGCTTTAATTCATTGGGATGTAGGCATGCTTAACCTTCAGTGGACTGTACCTGATCGCCACACAATTTAAAAATGAATTCTGAAAGTGAAAATCAGAATAATAGAAGGCAGATATTTCCTCCCACCAGTCATGTAGATTCAGTAGTACTACAAAGGTGGCACCAAATATTCTCTTCCTTTCGATTCCCCCCCCCCCAAAAAAAAAAATAGTGAGTTAAAATATGTTTTAAAAACATTTCCTGAAAAACCTCTTTAACTGTGAGAACGTTCATTTAATAAAATAAAAAAAACTTTATTTGGTGCTTTCAGCATCCCCCCCTTTCTGGTATCAACTGGAAATCAGGGCATGAACAGGTTAATGTAAAAACCTTTTAAAATCACAGAAATTATTGTTCCCTGGTGATGACATGGGAGAAGGGGGCAAACAAGACTAACTGAAAATGAGGACAGTGCTTTCTTGAATCAGTCACACAGGTGATTTTAGCCCACGAGGAGTCATGAAACCACTACAGACAATACAACTGGGATATGTGAAGATCTCATTGAGGGAAAACAAGGTGCATTGGGAGAAGGGGATCCTGGGTGCATCCCAGGTTTCTCCAGGTGACGTGGGATAGCAACATTTTAAGCTATGTTATACTGAGTCACATCATTGGTCCAGCCATCTCACTGTTGTCTGCACTGGTTGACTGTTATTTCCCCTTTGCTGTTTCTGTGTGAAAATCTGATAAGTAAAAAAGGGGAGAACCCAGATGAAATGGGAGGGTGAGTAGGATGTCATTATGATGAGGGTGACATCATGTTGATGCTACACAAAACTTGTGTGCATGAGCAGCACCAAGTCCACAAAAAACTGCTGCGTGGAAGCACTCTTACTTAAGCTGAGAAACAGTGAGTTGGGCATTGTCCTCCCTGGCTGTGTGTGGATGTTCTCCTAGATCTCTTTCTTCAATAGGACACCAAGAAGAATTCTGCTACTATTATCACATACAGTGGTACCTTGGGTTACATACGCTTCAGGTTACAGACTCCGCTAACCCAGAAATAGTGCTTCAGGTTAAGAACTTTGCTTCAGGATGAGAACAGAAATTGTGTTCCGGTGGCGTGGCAGCAGCAGGATGCCCCATTAGTTAAAGTGGTGCTTCAGGTTAAGAACAGTTTTAGGTTAAGAATGTACCTCCAGAACGAATTAAGTACTTAACCTGAGGTACCACTGTACACACACCCAGCAATGTTTTCACAAGAAGCTATCAAGTACGATGGATGAGGAGCCTGTGCGCTTTCAGACTGTGCTGGCCTACAATTCCCATATTTTCGAGCCATTCACTTAGGGTACCTGGGGCTTATGGGAGTTGGACTGCTGCAGGTTCCCTTTCCCTGGAGTGAGAACTTTCCAGAGTTGTTCCATTTCACCTTCTGCAATGGAATTAGCTCCTTTTTATTTTCTTCTCTAGGTGACGTACTGACATTCTTAGATTCTCACGTGGAATGCAACATAGGATGGCTGGAGCCGCTCCTGGACAGAATCCGTTTGAACAGGAAGAAAGTTGCCTGTCCTGTTATTGAAGTCATCAGTGACAAAGATATGAGGTAATTTTGATGCCTCCATATTTGGCCTGGTCCCGCCTTGGTAATCCATGCACAGGGAAAAATACTTATTCACGTGGATCATTTTTCTTTCTTTTTTAAAATATTTTTATTGATTTTTACAAACAATTTCCAAAAATCATATAACATACTTTCTTATCTTATACATTGTTTTGGACTTCCATCAACTGCATCTGAAGATTTTCCAGTCTTTCTCACGTAATCTGCATTTCATTATTTTCAGTATTACAATTAATACTCCATCACTAATAATTCTTATCATAGTTTTCTCTGCAATATTTCGCATAGTCCTCCTTAAAAAACTTCTTGCAATCCTACTAGCGTGATCTGTTGATTGCAATTGCTTTTCAAATAATTCATATATTTACTCCAGTCCTCTGAGAATCTCTGATCCTGGAGGTTTCGAATCCTTCCTATCCAATTCTTCATAGTCTATTAATGATCCATGTGGACTATTAATGGACCACATGGCTCATTTTTCTTGGCAGGGATGGGGAACCTGTAGGCTTACAGATGTTGTTAGATTCCACTTCCCATCACCCTCAGCCAACATGGCCAGTGCCAGTCCAACAACATCTGGAAGACCACAGGTTCCCCTTCTACGTTTTGGAACCAATCCTTTCTACCCTTTATCTTCTTAAGCATCTTCTGGTTGTGACAGTTTCAAAAATAAATTGCAAACAGGAAAAGATGTTACACCAAGAATTTAAAAACTATTTTTAAAGGATGTTAAACATTTCACCACATGTTTAAAAAGCTCATAATTTTGTGAGAGTATGTGTTTTAATGTTACCCGTGGGATCTATTAACAGCCCCTCCCCTTTAAAAGTATATCATTCAAGTTACGGTTACCCTTTTCAGACACAGCTTTTGTTTCTGAAGTTAATTCCTGTTGTGACTTCCATTCCTTAGCTACATGACCGTGGACAGCTTTCAGCGTGGTGTTTTTACATGGCCAATGAATTTTGGATGGAAGCCCATTCCTCCAGATGTCATCTTGAAAAATGGGATTAAGGACACCGATATAATTAGGTAAGTTTCAGCTGTTAAGATTTTGTTGACAGAATTGCTCCTTAAGCACTAAACCCACAAGTTGGGAGAAAGGCGTATATTACTCAGGTTTGCAAAACATAGGTAACATTTGTTGGGTGTGCAACCCTACTCTTTCCTGAGTGCAAACTAGCATCATTAAAACACAGCGAGTTCAGCTATGAGGATCCCATACAAAGAACAAGTTTGGGTAAACACTGGGCCTCTAGACCAGAGTTGTTGGAGTCCCAACTCCCATCAGCCCATAGCCAACATGGTCAGGGATGTTTGAAGATTTAGTTCAGCCACAATTTCCTGGATTAGATGTTGAACTGCAACTCTCCAGCATAGCCAGGGTGTTCAGGGATGATAGGAGTCATAGTCCATCAACATCTGGAGAGCCCTACATTGGCTACCCCTGATTTATTTAAAGTATGCATCATATAAATAGGGAGATGTCAGTTTATAAACATGTTAAAACTACCACCTGTGCAAGGAACCTAATGCTATGTTTAGCTAGATGCAGTTGCACCCAAACTGTGCATTTGCAAGGCAAGCCATCTACACCATATTCAAGACTTCCATCATATAACAAGATTATATTTTAGAGTTTATAAACAGTGGCAGAGCCTGCTGCTAAGTTTTTGTGGGTGGGGGCGAGCAAATCTAACTCATCCTGGAAGTCATAAAGGGAACTCTGATGTAAGCACGTGGAGCATTGTTAAAATTCATGTGGTAGGCGCCCTTTAATTGCAAAATCTGTATTTTCTTTTAAAGCACAATGTATAATCCTAAATTATGTTTCAATTACCAGGTGTCCTGTGATGGCAGGTGGGTTATTTTCTATTGATAAGAAGTACTTTTTTGAACTTGGGACATATGATCCTGGCCTTGATGTTTGGGGAGGTGAAAACATGGAGATCTCATTCAAGGTATGTTGCATTAACTGTAACAGTGTTCCTCCCACCCCAGTTGATTTGCATCACATTCATAATCATATTAATGGTCATATTACATCAGCAGTCCTGCATATATAGTGGTTTTAGATGCTCCTTAGTAGAAATAAATGGTCAAAATTGACTGCATCAGGGCAAGCAGTATATTGTATCTGTTATATTTACATATTATTCTGTCACGTCCCCCCAGCAATCACATTTTAAACTTGAAGGTGCTTTGTAAGATGTATGCACCTTTAACAAAATATAGCTTTCATGAAATAGATTAAAATAAAATCCTAGGCAAAAAGCACTAAATAATACAATGGCTCATGTCAGATACCACATATGAAACCATGGTTAAGGAACATTCAACATGGTTGATGTTTTGCGTGAACTGATAGATCGTGGGTTGTGATCCAGTGGCAGATTAGAATGGGAAATGGATTTGTACTATCTCTCATTGGTGTGATGTCTGAATTGACAAACCATTGTTAACAGGCATTGCTGTGCCTCTGAAGGCCATTGCAACTGGAGACTGTAGTGCTGAGCAGATATAAAACAAAAACAGACCACAGGTTGCCTGTACATACAGAAGCTCCAACTGTGGTTTGGGATCTTAAGCCACATTTACTGTAAACTATGGTTAGGCATGCTGTCTGAACTGAGCTGGTGTGCTGTGGAATCCCCTTACATAATTATCAACAGCAAGTTGTGCTAAACCTTCCCTATCCGGGTGCACCCTAAGGCATATTACATGACAGAATCCATTGGCCAGTGGTTGCCTCATGAAGTGTTATCCTACCTCTTTTTCACCAGGTTTGGATGTGTGGAGGGGAAATAGAAATCACCCCGTGTTCCAGAGTGGGCCACATTTTCAGGAACGACAACCCCTACTCCTTCCCTAAAGACCGCCTTACCACGGTGGAGCGGAATTTGGCCCGAGTTGCAGAGGTTTGGCTGGATGAATACAAAGATCTCTTCTATGGACATGGTTATCACCTCATCCAAAAGAACCTGGACATCGGGGATTTGACTCAACAGAGAGAACTGAGGAAGAGGCTTCAGTGCAAAAACTTCAAATGGTACCTGGAGAACGTCTATCCTGATTTAGAAGCCCCCCTTGTTAAAGCTAGTGGGCTGGTATGTTCAATTTCCCAACTCCAATGTGCCCCTTGGGCTAATGTCAACTTGACACATCATCATCTTAAGACTTTATGTCTTTTGTGTGGTATTTGCCTGCAATGGATTTCGCTCAGTGTTTGGTAACCCAGAGCTGAGGAACATCTGGCCCTCCAGATGTTGTTGGACTACAGTTGCATCATCCCTGACCATGGGCAATGTTGACTGAAGCTGGTGAGAGATGGAATCGAACAACATCTGGAGGATCAGAGGATCTAAGGAGATGGACTCATGTCCAAAGAATGAGTGGGAAATTAATGTGGGGGGAAAGATCCTGGTGGATTTTGCATGTGTTATAATATATTAAATGGGTTGATGTTTGGGGCCCAAACCCCACCTCTCTGCCTTGGGCTTGGTTTGTGAGCTGAAGCTACTCACTTATCTTAGAATTGTAGTGTTGGAAGAGATCCTGAGGATCATCTAGTCCAACTCCCCACAATGCAGGAATATGCAGCTGCCCCAAGCGGGGATCGAACCTGCAACCATGGCGTTCTCAGCACTACGCTCTAACCAACTGAGCTAAGGCATCTGGTCCAGAATTCTGCATTCGCTAGTGACCACCCAAATGCCTCTGAGAAGCTTTTGAGCAGGGCATTGGACCCTGCTGTTTGTCCCCAGCACCTAGTTTTTCAGAGGCCTCTGAAGAGGATGGTTCTATTCAGCTGTTGTAACTGAGATGCACTGGAATCTGTCAGGGAGGAGGAGCTTTGGGTGAAGCCAAGGGAAGATGTTGGGAGCAGCCTAGTGTCGGTAGACCCTGCAGTAACGATTAGCAGCTGAAGGAAGAGTTGTTGATACTACCAAACTGGCATTTTAGATATTTGCCCTAGAGTATTGGTGCTTAAAACATCTTAGTTTGGTTTGTTTTTCTTCTTCTTCTTACATTCCTAACTCAAATCACCGAGGCTCAACTTCCTCTCAGATCTCAAACTTCTTGCTTGCAGCCACTAGAGTGCAGTAGAATCTCATTTTCCTCCAGTTTCTGGAATAAAATTGGCATTTTGGTACCTTATCCCAAACCCAAAATTTTCTTCCGTAAATCAGTGATACGGCATCCTGATGAACTTTCTGTGCCCACCATCCAATTTCAGTACTAATTTATAAGCTGTAATTAGGAGAGAGGGCATCAAAGTTGCATTGCTGGTGCTGATGGGAGTTGTAGTTTTATCGGGGTCAAAGATTCCCCACTCCTGCTTTGCGCCTTATGCATATTTGCAGTGTTCCTTCTGCCCCTGTCGTGGGATGTCCCCTCCTTTCATTCCATGACAGCAGACACAGACCTGTGATGTTGCAGGAGCTTTTCTGTGCCTGGCAATCACAAGAACTCACCTTTCCTTGTTTCTACAGGGCTAATACAGGTGTATTTCTACAGGTGTGCAGAGAAAGTGAGAGAGTGCCATGCTCTATGCCAGGGGTCTGCAACCCGTGGCTCCGGAGCCGCATGTGGCTCTTTTACACCTTTGCCGCGGCTCCGGGGCGGATACTAGCGAGGGGAGGAGGCGCATTGTGCGCCCCGACACTCCCCACTGTGGCGGGCGCTGTACTGGCTGTGACGTCGCATGGGGGCGGTTGCATGCGTTAGTCACACACCGTCCCGACGTCACCTTCCCGCCCGCCCGCCACATTGTAAGGGGCATGTACGCTGGTCACTGCATTGAAAGGGGGCATGTACGCTGGTCACTGTTTTGAAGGGGAGTGAAGAACACACACACAAAAAAAGGTAACTTGTTAATTTAAAGTTTATTTCTATGAGAAGGAGTAATTCTGAGGGGTCAAACAAAGAAATATTTAAAAAGTGACAAAAAGGTTATTTTTATAATGACGAGTTTTGCGGCTCCCAGTTTTTTCTTTCTTCGGAAACGGGTCCAAGTGGCTCTTTTTGTCTTAAAGGTTGCAGACCCCTGCTCTATGCCATCATGGGCAGAAATGGGAACCTGTGGGCTCCCAGATGTTACTGCACTCTGAGCCCTAGGCATCATGACCCATGGTCAGGGATACTGGAAGCTGTAGTCCAGCAAATATCTGGAAGCCTGCAGTTTCCCCATCCCTGACCCTGGGCGAGAGAAGGTGTTGTGATGAGGGAGTTGGAAAGAGATCCTTGATAGGCCACTTAGTACACGGCCGTAAAAATTGCAAAATGCAATCAGTCACTCATCCCCCAAATCCATTAGCAAACGGAGATCTGGTGACAGCAGGAGGGCTTAGCCACTTATTTATATTTATTTTTTTGACCTTTGCATTAACAAATTACAGTGCACATCATTAACCCAGAAGATTTTTGTTTAAAACTGCAAATTAGTCTTGCTTAGGCAAGATAATCTCAAGATGGAAGATTGCTATTACGATGGGTTGGGCAACCCAATTGACTGCATAAGGTCAGCTGTGGAAAATTGCTCTTTTTACCTGTCCCTGACTTAGGTTTGCTGATAGGGGGTTGCAGCAAATAGAGATAAGTCATCGTTGCTCCCTCCAGCCTGAAAACAAACCTGAATTACAGCATTTGAATCAGTAGAATGAAAGTTTTCATACTTCCAAAACAGAAAAAAGGGTTGATTTTAGGGCTGTCCACAAACACAAGAATTTGAAACTGATTAGAATCAATTTGCATGTCACCTAAACTTTTTAATGAGATAACAAAGACAGCTAACAATTTAAACAAGCGCTGCCAAGTTGTTAAAAAGTAAAGGCCATCTTTTAAATTTTCTTTTTCTTTCCCTGTTAGTTGTCACACACCTGTCAAAATAGCGTCAGATGCTCAGGCCAACTAATTAAAAGTGAGCCCAATCTGATTGATCACCTTCAGTTACTATGTTTCAACTTACGAAATACCCATCAAATGTCAGAAATGGGGTAGAGGAGCTCTAGTGGCTATTGCCCACCTCTAGACATTGAATTGGGGGTTTTTTTAAAAAAAAATTGCTACATTCCTTCTTCAGGGTCTTTACGCCCACTTTGACATTTCTAACCTTTTGCTTCAATTTGCTTGTTTTATTTTAGATCATTAACATAGCACTGGCTAAATGCGTCACTGTGAATACATCTAGCCTGGCCTTTGAAACATGTGATGTTAATAACAAGGTAAGACTGTTTATTGCCTTCCTGTTCATTTTTTCATATTGGAGGACCAATATGGTTGCTTGTCTTTAATGCCCTTTTTGAAATTTCAACTTGGGAGTCTAATACTGGGCACAGTCTTCGTGCTGGGCTGACAGCTAGGCTTCCCTCACTATCGGGAGATGCAAGAAGGCCCTTTATACTTACCCAGAGGCACAGATGATGGAGTGGAGTTTGTGACTTCCAGTGAAGTCACAAACCAGTGGCACTGGCGAGTGGCACATAAGTGGCCTCCAGAACCAGATTATTCCCACTCCATTTCCTGCAGCTTCCAGGAAGTATAAAAGATATGTAATATTTTCATGGGGTTAGTTACTACTTTTTGCACTAATGGGTTCCAAACAATCCAGTTCCTTTTCCCGTTCACACCACTGCGAAGTGCCACGGGTGAGACGCGTTTTTCACCCACCAAACCAAAGGCTGGCTTTCATGCCTACCCTTCACCCATAAATACAGGTAACAACAATATCAAACTGCAATATTAAAAATTAGTTGAAACCGCAGTCTGATGTTTATCCCAGGATCGTAGAGAACAGTCTCAGCAGTTCTACCCACTTCACAGGTTGCCTTTAGGTCAGCGTTAGAAGATATATAAGCCAGGCAGCAAAATAACTCCATAAACCAGGGTTACCATCACCAAAACGGAACGCCTAGTTGCCATTTTTGGGCAAGTCGTGTTTTTCAATATGACTTTTTGGTTCGTGAAAGTCATTCTGACTGTGCAGATAAAATATAATGGATAGGATTCTGCAGGATGTGTTCCAAGTGTGTGGAAACAGTTCAGATCCAAGGATCCCCAGGCATGCACCTTCAGATGACGGAGACATCAGGTACCATCCTGCTTCCCAGGCATCTTCACCTGGTTGCAAGTGGCACCTGGCACATGGCGAATTTCGAAAGCTGCTTTAGATTGCCTGCATTTTGCATACTGAGGGATTCAACTGCCTACTGGAAAGGCTAATTTTAGTCATTTATTTTTTTAAAAATACTTGTATACTAGCCTCTCACAAAACATCAGGAAGGTGTACAGCAATGTAAAAAAAAAACCTATGTAAAATAAAAGCACTACAGAACAATCATTAAAATGACTGGCTACTGAATAAAATTTTAAGGAGCTGCATATTACTATTACTAAAATTTATTTATCAAATCGCCTTCCAAACTAGGTGATCTACATGTAAAATAATTTAAAACAGTTTAAAACACACACAAAAAACCAAATAAGTTTAAAGTCCTAACAAGTGGACACCCATTTATCCATCTGAGAATGCCTGTTTGAACAAAAAGGTCTTCAACTGTTTCTGGAAAGTGCAGATATTGGACGCCTGTTGCGTAGGCCTGTTGGCATAAAAATGTCTTCCGAGCGGCACCTGAAAGCAGGGTTGAAATTGAGCGTGATAACCAACCACCGAAATTTTGCCTGCTACTAATTCTTTCCCATGCGCAGAACCAGAAGTTCAACTATACTTGGCTGAGATTGATCCAGCACGGAGACTCCTGTGTAGCAGTGACTGATGCGGAAGGGACACTGGGCCTGCACCCTTGCGATAAACGAAACAATAGCCTGAAATGGTTGCATAAATCACTGGTGGCTTTTCATCCAGAACTCGTAAGTGCAGCATTTGCAAAGGGCTCCTCCTCCTCCCTCCCAGCCCCCTTCCCTGTGGCCAAACTGGAACCGGTGCAAAACAAAGGGAGCCTTTTCTCTCATTTCCATTTGTATGGGGGCATGTGAGAGGCATTTGTCATTCAAGTAGAGAAAGGGTTTGTGCAGGCGTTAACTTAGCTATATTTGATGAATCGAAGGGCATTTTTTAGTTATTTCCATATGTTTATCCTGCCCTTCCTCCAAGGGGTTCGGGGTGGTGCACATAGTTCCGTTTTATCAACCCATTCTCTCCTCACAACAGCCCTGTGAGGTAGGTTAGGCTGAGAGATGATGGTTCAAGTGAGTGAGCGTTCTGGCTGAACATGGGTTTCTCTGATCCTTAGCCCAACACGCTTAAGCCAGGGGTGACAGGCCTTTTGGCTGTCAAGGGCTCCAGTCCACCAGGGTCAATCAACTGTGGCACATTGTGGCAGTGGGAAAGACTGAAGCCAAAAGTGGACAGGACACGCCCTTTCCCCCCACCCTCTTTTTACACCAATTCTCTCCTTCCTCTACACCTAGTAGCCTGGTACAGGCAGGGGTGTGGATTGCTTTTGTCAGTTGTCCAGATTTGCCACTTGCAGAAGGCTTTCCTCCTCTCCTTTGATCACTCCATTCATTTCAGCTCTTCCCCCCCCCCTTCAATTTCCCCTCTGGGCTCCCCCCACCTATATGAAATTAAGTTGAGGGCTGCATATGGCCCTCAGGTTGCTCACCTGTGCTCTAATCATGCAACCACGCAGGATGTAGCAAGCTTACATACTTCCAGGCCGTACAAACGAATCAATGTAGACAGGGTCGCGGGTGGCACTGTGGCCTAAACCACTGAGCCTCTTGGACTTGCCGATCAGAAGGTTGGCGGTTCGAATCCCCACGACGGGGTGAGCTCCCGTTCCTCTGTCCCAGCTCCTGCCAACCTAGCAGTTCGAAAGCACGCCAGTGCAAGTAGATAAATAGGTACCACTGCGGCGGGAAGTTAAACAGCGTCTCTGTGCACTCTGGTTTCCGTCACAGTGTTCCGTTGTGCCAGACGTGGACTGGAAAGCTGTCTGTGAACAAGAGCTAGCTCCCTCAGCCTGAAAGCAAGATGAGTGCCGTACCACATAGTCACCTTTGACTGGACTTAACCGTCCAGGGGTCCTTTACCTTTACCTTTATATGTGTGTGTTGTTTGTGAGTGTGTGAAAGAGAGAGAGAGAGAGAACAGAAGGAATCATTGGAACTTTTTCAAGCAGGTACGTTTCTTAAGCCCCAAGTCCTGTTTCTCCACTGAGACATACGTGCAGGCCAATGAATTTGTGGGATTTTTCCAAAAGCTTCCTTGGGTCACAAAATCAGCACACGTCTTGAGGCAAAGGTCTGAAACCAGGTGGCTGTAAAAATAGCAGGTTGGATTCAGACTATAAGTGAGTCGTGCTGGAGTCCCATTAAAGTGACTAACTTTAAGTCATGTTGATCTCAATGGGTGGGATTCAGTGTCTCCCCCTGTGTTTTGTTGTGTCCACAACCCACCACCCTGCAATCCAGTTCCATCAGCAGAACCCTTGTTTCAACACTGGCAATGGAACAACATCCTCTGCTGCAGGTGAGGCAGCTGGGTAGTTTAGAAGTTAGAGAATAGGCTAGTTTAAGGGACTCAAGGGAAATGGTTGGGGGACTGCCCCCCTTCCCACGCCACCTGAGGCAATAACCTCACACTGCCCTGGGTGCTGGGGGTAGTTTTCTATTTTAAGACCTCAACTTTGCCTTACTAAGTACTGTGATTTCAGTTTCTCACAGATCTTCCTTCCAGGGTGTCATCCATACATCATAGAAACACTTTGCAGTGATAAAGAATAGATTCTCTACACTGTCCTGGTGCAAAAATCAATCTAATGACTGTATTTAAAACACGAACACCAAAATCGTTTGCAGCCTCCTCAGCTATAGCTTCTAGAAATAATTCTAAAGGCTTTTAAAAAAAAAAAAAGGACCAAGGTAAATTAAAATGATTTTCCCTATCTGAAAGAAGCTGATTTTTAGCAGGTCCTTTCAAGACTTTTGGGTGGGGGCTGTTGAGAGGGAAGAATAGCAATTATAGGAGCTGATCGATAATCTTGTACAAGATCCTGACATTGTGACTCTTTCCATCTGTTCCTCCTTTGCCAATCTTGGTTCAAAACCTCCTAAAAAGTGAAAATACTCCCTTTTTTAGGCTAAGACATGAAAAAGCATATGAAAAATGACCAGCCATTTAAGTTACCAGATAGCTTGTCAGGTAGCACTGACATTCTTTGATCTACCTCTGAACTCTGGGCCTTAAAACAGATTGGACCTTCCACAATATAGAAAGTCGTGTTTCCCCCCTTCTTCTTCTTCTTCTTCTTCTTCTTCTTCTTCTTTTTCTTTTTCTTTTTCTTTTCTTCTTCTTCTATTGGATACGGGCAATTGCACCTGTACAAAACTAAGCCAGCAGCAAGTTTGAGCCGTACAATTTTATCTGCCAAGGTAAAAGAACAGATTAGTTTTTTTATGAAAGCTTTGGAGGGCAGGCTGGCCCTGTGGGAGCCTAAAGTTATTGCCGTCACTTGAAACCAAAAGATGGATTTATTTTCTACAAAGCTAAGGGCTGTCCTCTGCAGGCTCGTCTTGTACCGGCACTGTTCAGAATGAATAAAAATCGGCCACAGCACAGCCTGTTCTTTGGGGGTAATCAGGAAGCAAACCTGTACCTTTTGGAAGCTTTTGGAGTTCTCATTTGTACATTTCAGCTTACGTTGGAGTACAAAGAGGGGGATTTGAGCATACAGCTCCTATGTTCGTCAGTTCTGCCACAGGTACTCTGCACTTGTACATGCATAGGCACCCCCAGGTGATCAGGGCTCCCGATTGTACAGGGCTACTTACTGCATGACATTTCTATATGCACACAGCTGTATGTGCATGGGTGCTCTTTTTCAGAAGTCCTGTGCAATGCATGAATGTCCTGGGTGGAGCCAGTGCGGCGAAGTGATGTTCGCCCAGATCTGGCAGCTGAATATATATACACATGGAGCAATGCGTGGAGTTTATTGATTGATTTATAGCCCATCTTCTCCTCCCAAGGAACTCCCAAGGCTGCATACATAGAATAATGGAATCGCAGAGTTGAGAGGGACCCCGAGGGGTCATCTAGTCCAACCCCCTGCAATGCACGTATCTCAACCAAAGCATCCATAACTGGTGGCCACCCAATCTCTGCTTAAAAACCTCCAGTGAAGGAGGTTGGACCCTCCAAGGATTCTCCCCTCCTCTTATAATCTCCACAACAACCCTGTGACGTAGCTTAGGCTAAGAGGCAATGCCTGGGTCAAGGTCACCCAGTGAACCTCATTTGAACCCTGGTCTTCCTTCCAGGTCCTAGCTCGACACTCCAACCACTAAGCCCCACTTGCATGAGGGTCCATGAACTGGGGTTTTTTAAATTGCCACCACTATCCTCACATTAATAGTAATAGTAATAATTCATTATTTATACCCCGCCCATCTGGCTGGGTTTCTCTAGCCGCACTGGGCGGCTCCCAACAGAATAGTAAAAATAGAATCAAACTATTTGGGCATCCTTGTGTGAAATGAATGGAGGCTGTTCAAGAGGTGGAACTGCTCAAATTGATTTCATTGGAACACGACAACTTCACGGTGGATGGTGCTTTGTGGTCCTAGGTTTCCAAAACAGCAGGCAATGCAACAGAGCTGAGTTGAAGATGGCAAATCTAAATGCAGGTGTGAAAACTAAGAACCAGAGCCACTTGATGCACATTTTTTTTTAACCCTTCCACTCTCAAAAACCAGGAATGGGCTTTTGGTGGCCTGCATACGGTCACATCCCAGTGTGCATTTGTTGGCACAACTACAGCGCTATTCCTAAAGGATATATTAGCCTCAAGTTTTCCTTAAATGGGTTGTTCCTTAATGCTTTGTACAGTGGTACCTCAGGTTAAGAACTTAATTTGTTCTGGAGGTCCATTCTTAACCTGAAGCACCACTTTAGCTAATGGGGCCTCCCACTGCCACTGTGCCACCGCCGCACAATTTCTGTTTTTATCCTGAAGCAAAGTTCTTAACCTGAGGTACTATTTCCTGGGTTAGCGGAGTCTGCAACCTGAATCGTCTGTAACCCGAGGTACCACTGTATTTACTTAAGTACAGTAGTGAAGTGAATAGAACCTGTAGACATTTTGGAATCTATAGAGGGTGTTTTCCAGAAAACAAACAATGGTCTTTTGAGAGAGCAGATCCAAAGATTGAAATGATGGGAATTTTTCCTGGGTTTCTACCAAATGTCAGCTCTTCAAGAATATTCCGTCATTGCTAAGACAGCTATGTACTGAAGATGGCATATTGACATAATCTCATTTCCCCCCCAATCAACCATATTCATGACTAGATAGAAATCAAATAGAAAAGAACTTTCCCAGCTAAAAATGTATTGTGGAGTGTGTCCATTGTACTATAGGCTTTCCCTCCCCTAAAAGAGCCTTTGTGATTAATTCATTAACAAGATTACCATTTTATGATTTGTTACTCTGCACTAAGGTAGCCAAAGAGCTACCACAGAGCAGTTTACCTTGCTTTTTGATCAGTGTAGTCCTTGCTGCCTCTGCTTTCAGATAATGGCTGTAGCTTCCTGTGTACTAAAACACAGAACTCCATGGGCACAAAACTATCCTGTGGACTCCACCCACATCAGCTTCTCATGACGGGCTTTATTAAACCAAAAAGGCTAATTGGACAGCGTCTGAAGGACTTCGAGCAACAGAACAATCTGGCCATTATAAAGAAATTCTGTCCTTGGTATGCTTCCCCCCCCCCCTTCTCAGTTTGATTCCCTGGCACCATATTTGTATAAATTAACTATCCCAAAATACAGGTGTGCCTTCACACTGGCCAGATTGGATGTGATGCCCTCTGCTGTACTTGAGGGCAGATACCAAAAGATTCCAACTGAGAAACAACCTGTGGAGATGGTAATCTGGAAACAGTGGCTCATGTTCTCCTGTCCTGTCCCCTTTATAAAGATCTGAGGAATGAGATCATTACCCCACTCTTACTTACCATCCCAGGCCGCCCATTTGAGGCCACATTGTTCTTTCTTTAACAGATCAAAATGATCAGACAACAGCAAAGGTTGCTAGGTTTATTGAGGGTGCAATGAGATTAAGGGCCACTATCTGAACGATACTCTTGGACATTTGATTGCCCTTTTTACCCATTGCTGTCTTTTTTTATTAATATATATTTTATTTGTATATATTGCTTGTTTTATATTGCAATGGCCATTGGCTAATGCGAATAAAGTTTATCTACTACTCCATGGGCACAAGTAGGATGAAACTTTAACATGAATCTACTGTGATGCACACTTACTGAAACAATACGTAAACCAAAACGCAACTATCCTTTGAAATTTGCACTTCTCTGAATTGTGCAATGCAGTTCTCCAACAGCAACAGAAAATGTGCACAAAGATGCATACGTTAGGGTAAAGTGCTTAAAAATGCCGGTATTAGTGAAAATAACATTAAAATGCATTATATTAGCAAAAATTACAAAAAACGTGTATTGAGCAAAATTATATACAAATATGTGTCTGTTATGAGAAATGTGAACAAAAACGCTGGCATATTTTTGTGAGCGCTTTAAAAAAACTCTCAAACTGATGCAGAAATGTGGGTAACTGAACGGCTGGGAAAACAAGAAACCCAAATTGACAAATTTGTCCCTGGTTGCAGGCAGAATAAACCATGAAAGTTATGCCTAACAAGGAACGAACAGCTCTTGCTGACTTGTGTATTCTTCTGCATTTTGCCAGTCATGCGTAGTTTAAAGACACATGATGCATCATCATCAAGTTTAAAAAATTCCCTGCCCTTTGCAAGGAGCAGCCAGTGGAGTAGATCAGAGGTAGAGAAAACACTGAGCGCAATTGCATTATAAAGCCAACATGTGTTGACCAATCCTGGAGTACCGTACTGGCTGATACCTGGACATGTGAACTGACTCATTGATGAATGTTTTACCTGAAGAGTTCTGTCTCTGATGTCAGATATACAGTGGCTGATTCACACATGAAAATCCATCATCAGAGATTGCAGTCGTCACATGATAAATATGCATGTGTAAACCAAAGGCTATGATACCGGGCATACTACTGTCGTCTAAGAAAAAGAGTAAATTTTGTGAATGTCTGAAAACTCACAGATACACCACTAACAACATTCACATTTAACTGTCTGGAAAATCGGCAAATGCCTGTTGTCTAATTTTTAGGCAATCCTAAAATTCAGCTAGCATTTTCAGCGTTGTGAACATCAACATTCACCAGATTGTGAACAATCGCTATAGCATATATGTCAAGATAATAGTATTTCCACTGCCTACCCCCCCAACAATACATTTTCATTTTTTACGATTTGCTCTTTCAGTCAAATGATGCTTCAAAATATTAACCTGCATTTCTCAAAAGTAAGCCTAGAGCAGCCTTCAGTATAATGGTACTCTGCCTTATGAAAGATAGCTAAATGCAAAATAACCAGAATAGGATCCCCGCTCATTCAAAACTTCTCACGATTTCATAATCCAATTCTGTATCCCAGCCCTTTGGATTTAATTAACAAATTACCCAATCCACTTCCCATCATGGTATGTGTCTTTCTGCTTCATCAGCTGAGACATAATGTGATATGAAAGGCAGGATCTCCTGCCATAAGTCATCCTATATTGCAAATGCCATCTGGGATGATTTCCTTTGCAGGGTAATTGTCATTCAAGCAGCAAGAGTTCTGCGTGTTGCATTTTCAAAGAACTGGAAAGCCATGTGGCACAGAGGGTGCAGCCAAGTTGCGGTTTGAGAACAGGTGGAAATATTGAGCACTGTCCAACATCCCCGTTCAGCTTATAAATGCATACCAGCCTCCGCCAACCTGGTGTCTTCCAGATGGTATCAGCCAACGGTTGGTTGTTGAAGGATCAATAATACATATTGAGCAGAAGCAGCTAGGGAGGTCCTTCCATAGTCCCATGTAAAAATAAAATAAATAAACCTTTATTGTCACGACACCACCTGTGTGCAGTGAAATTAAATTAAATAGCAGTTTATCAGTTTGCTACTTGCAGCCCATTGCCCATGCCTTCTCTCTCTTCCTCTCTTTCCAGATGGATCACATTGTCTTAGAACACCTTCCTCGGGCCACGTGTTTGGAAGTGGATCGGTCTCAGAAAGCCCTGAGGGCCGGCGTTTGTTCCTCCTCCAATCTTTATCAGAAGTGGCAGTTTGGAAATTATTATGCTGCCTGAAGAGGAAGACGAGCAAACCGGACAGAAGAGTCGCTTTATAATCCGATGAATTTGAAAGCGGCAGCTGTGGAACTTCCGATAGCAGCGAGCAATAAACTCCGATCTCCCTCCCAAACCGCAGTCGGAACCCGGCACTTTGGAAGAAGCATATGGCCAGATCAGAAGATGGAGCGAGAGCGCAGCTGGTTTGATGCGGCTTAATGACACACGGCCGGCACATTGGCAGGGGAGGAAAAAAATCACCAAAGTTATTCCTGCCTTAGAGGGTTTACCTGCTTGGCACTGTTACATTTCTGGTTTGGGTTTTTTGTTTTTACAGGAGCATTGCGGAGATTCCACTTCACAAGTTTCGCTCTTATTCCTATTTTAAAAAAATGCCGATCTTTTGGAAACCTTGAGAATCACATATCTCAAATCTGCATTCCCAAATCTGCCTGTGAGTATAGAAGTTGACAGCTGTCCGATTTGATTGGTAGTGGCTGCCAGGTGAATGGCCAGGCAGCACTTTGAGGTCGTGGCAAAAGTATGACTTTATTATGTGTGTGGAGGTGGCAGGAGTTTGAAAACGTCTTACTGGGCAAGCCCTCTTGCTGTCACTTCCAAGAAGCTTTGGGGACAAACTCGGGCTAAAACAGTCCAGATTGGAGAGATCAGATGCACAGTCTATAAGCTCTAAGTGGCACAGTCCAGCAACAGATTCAGCGTATGCGCACAGTAGGGATTTTCAGGTGCCTTCCTTTTTTACACATCTAGTCTATGTGCATGGGGGAAAGTGCGACTTCACCCTCACCAGCAAGCCAATGTGCTCAAGTGATACATTTCATAAACAAATTCCCAACATCCATGTACTCAGAGGGATGCCTGAAAAAGAGTTCCCATGTGTCCATAGGTGATCAAGGTAATTGGGATCCTTCTGATCCGAGGAGCTGTCTTGTGTATGCGCCCCTTCAGAGAAATTCCACTGAACATGGGAATGTCAGCAATTAGACCAGTGGGTCATGGCCCTGCATCTCCCTCCTCATGTAGGCTATCTTGGGTATTGTTAAGTCACTTCTGTAACTTTGCAGGCCTGAGCCCTCAAACCATTTATTTCAGAGCAGTGCCCTCTGAGCAACTTGAAAGGTAACTGCTGAAGGACCACATAAACTTCAGACAGCCATAGTCTTCAGGAGCCACAAAGGCGGTGGGGCTTCTCTGGAGTAAGGAGCATCCTTTGCCTCGGAGCATTGCCCTGAAGCTGTACCTCACAATACAAGCTTCGATGACAGCCGAGCTTTCATCATCCGTGATGTTTACAGCCTTTTACAAGTCTGTTTTATGTCCAAGAGAGCCTCTGTATAATGTGGCCGCGACATCGCATATCAGCACTGACAATGTTTGGCAAGCTGAACCTGCCAAAATATTGATTTGCCTAACAGACTTCACAGTCAGCTTCATTCCCAACTGTCTTTCTGAGTCTCTCCACCCCCCAGCACCCTCCAGTATTGTTGCCCCGTAGTTGCCATCAGAAAAATTACACAGATGTTGTCTGAACACTCACGTTTTATCAAGAGCATGAATTTCATTGCATTCTGTGCGCTGACATTCCATCATTTGTCATTTAGCAGGCACGGAGTGGCCATATGTCACAGTCACATTGGATTTCCCCTCGTGCCATTTGCAAAACGTTCGCATCCACCCTGGCTTCGCTTATTCTTTAAAAAAGCATATTGGGTGAACCTTGTGGACTCTTGACACACACAAAAATCTACAACATAGAGTACTGGGAAACACTGCCCAAGTAGGCTTTTCTTGCAGGAGCAACAACCACGCCAAGCTATATATTTAAAAATCATAATTATATTTTGAGCTCCTGGAACCCAAAACCTAAGAACATGTTCCCAAGGCATTCCTCCATCCTGATATCCCCAGACAGAAAACCACTGCAACTTCCAAAGATGCAGATGGAAATGACTTCAAATAAAGAGCGTCTGCCATTTACATTGGACCTGATTTCGTGGCTAGAACAACTCTTTACAGGTAGGCTTCTGCCGTCGCCTGTTTTGCTTGGTTCTGGAAGGTGGGAAAGACACTCCGCTATAGATTTTCAGACCTTTTTTAAAAAAATAAAAATGCTGTATTTGCAAGCAATAACATGGGTGCAAAAAGCTAGGAACCCAATACTCGCTGGCTGCTAGATTGCAGAAGAAGGCAGGAAGCGTATGGCGGGGAGGGGTTAGGGGAAAACACAGATGAATAAACACTGCTATTTTGACACAGGAATAGTATGGGGGGGGGATAAGTGAAATGTCCTGCTGTGTAATACTTGTCTGTCCATACTACCACCATCAACCCAGTATCTGGGCTAGCAGTGCCGGCTTTAATAATACACTCCGAAGAGGTGATTAGTGCTTGATCATCAGCTCATTCTGCTGCACACCCACCCTCAATCCAGTCTGAATCCCCACTGAAATTTCGATGCAATTGCTCCTGTTCCAGTAGAACTTAAGCACAGCTAATTTTTCTCTGGACTGGGCCGCGTTTACCACCCCATTGCCAAGAGTCACATGTGCATCGCAGTGCAGCATCCACCCATTTGTGGTTTTTTTCAGAAAAGGAGCGTGCCAAAGCTTCTTCCATGCACCACTTTCCCAGTAGCTCGGTGTGTGTGTGAAGCGATCTTGAGATGAAAAAGCCCCATCTTCTTAAGATAAGGATCGTCCTGTTATTTAGAGGATAGTACTTAGCTGAACTAAGATGGTAATGAGCAGGGCAAGGCAGCATAGCTGTGCTCCTCTTTCCTCTCCGCCTACATGACCTTCAAGGAAATTACTGCCTAACCACTTAAGGAAACTTGAACATTACTCTTACGTTGCTGGAGCAGCACAAGGAGGTGCATTAGTGACCAAAATCTGACCCTACCAGTCGTTTTAGCATTTTATATACTGTCATAAATTTGATCCAGATGTTATTTAATGATGGATCCTGTATATGTTTCATTCTCAAAATTAAATTCAATTTGCTTGATTTTGTTATTGGGGGTTGGGAGGAAGGAACCTGAATTTGCATCCAATGAAAAAAAAAAGCCTTGTGCAATGACTTTGAATGCACTTGTCCACTGTGAATTTTAACTATGTGCTATGCAATGTATATATCTCAGAGATGAACTCACATTGATAAATGAACTAAAAGAGTGGTGACTTAATTCTTTTTTTAATTAAAAAAAAGCTGTATATATATTTTAAAAATGTGAGCTGATGTCTTTTATATAATATAATTTGTGGGTTTTAAAATATATATGTAATTAGTTCCTTCCTGTCTGGCGTTCGTATTGTACCCTTATGTAATGCGCTCACCTGGTGGTTTATTTGTTTGTTTTTTAAACATAGCTTTTATGCATTTCAAACAAAAAAATGTTATTTACACATGGGAAATTCTTATTAAAAATCTGACATAATTTTTTACAAACATTGTCTCACGGCATCTGTCAACAGTTTTCCTTTCATAGCAGTGGAATCTGCATAAGCCTGGAATCTGCTCAGGTAAGCCCAATACAGAAGGCCCATTTTTTAACTTTTGAATTACAGTGGTACCTCAGGTTACATGCACTTCAGGTTACAGACTCCACTAACCCAGAAATAGTGCCTCAGGTTCAGAACTTTGCTTCAGGATGAGAACAGAAATCGCATGGCGGCGCAGCAGCAGCAGGAGGCCCCATTAGCTAAAGTGGTGCTTCAGGTTAAGAACAGTTTCAGGTTAAGAACGGACCTTCAGAATGAATTAAGTACATAACCAGAGCTACATACACATAAAAACCCTCTGCACTGAGAACATTCTTGTCAACCCTGACCATCACATTGCTACCCATAAGAACTACAACCTTGTCCAGATTGCCCAGATGGCAGTTGCCACTATGTTTGTGTTTGCATATGTTTCTCTCAGGGAGGTTCCTATGTCTTAATAACTGCATGACAGGCATAAATTCAACAGGTCCAGCTTTCCTATGTAAGAGCAAAATCTGCAAATTCACTTTTTGGGGGAGGGGGTGTCAAACTAAACAATTATTTTTTTAAAAAAAATTATCAGGAAAATTTCATGAGCTATGCTTTAATTTTCTCTCACATATTTAACCCAAAGAGGGTTTTGTAAAAATAAAAATGTGATCCCCCTCCCCCATTTCTAGTTAAATCAGAATTACACACATCGTTGTTCACTCTACAATCCCAGAAGGAATTAGGTTTTGAATATGAAATGTCCAGGATTTGTCTTTTATCTTCTGGGAGGGCATTCATAACAAAAACCATACTACTATAACTTGGGAAGAGGAGACATCCTTTGAATGTACACAGACCAGAGGGCAAATAAACAACTTCCATTGGAACAATGAGGTTAGTGTTTGGTTTGTACAATGCAGAACTGTCTTTCCCCCTCCCAGTTAGAAAATAAAGAATGGCCTTGTACGATGAACAACAAAAAATCTCAAACAATATTTGATCCTGCCAGAAATGTGAAACATCAAAGAACTCTTTAGTACTGCAGTAACATAAGCTCCCAGTTCCAGACCCTCGCAGATTTCACTGCAACCCAGACTTCCCTGCCCCATACCCCTTTCTTTTTCTACAGAAGGGAGAAGTGACTGCAAGGAAAATCTGGAATGGAAGGGGGTTAAGCACCACCACTGCCCTTACCCTTCCTCTGCTCCTGATTTCAGTTCCCAGTGGCTGTTTTCCCCTAATTAAATTTATAATATTTAATTTTAATATTAGGGGCAGTCCAGAGAACTCCAGATGATCTGCCATTAATATTTTGCATGGGTTTTTTTTTAATTTAAAAGTATAAAGCCCTTGGGACGCGGGTGGTGCTGTGGGTTTAATCACAGAGCCTAGGACTTGCCAATCAGAAGGTCAGCAGTTCGAATCCCCGTGACGGGGTGAGCTCCCGTTGCTCGGTCCCTGCTCCTGCCAACCTAGCAGTTCAAAAGCACGTCAAAGTGCAAGTAGATAAATAGGTACCGCTCTGGCGGGAAGGTAAATGGCGTTTCCATGCACTGCTCTGGTTTCGCCAGACGCGGCTTAGTCATGCTGGCCACATGACCCGGAAGCTGTACGCCGGCTCCCTCGGCCAACAAAGTGAGATGAGCGCCGCAACCCGAGTCGGTCACGTCTGGACCTAATGGTCAGGAGTCCCTTTACCTTTTACCTTTATAAAGCCCTTAATTATCGTAATCATTTTTAAGCTGTGCACAATAGTACAAATCGTCATAAAGCAGGAGAAATCGTATAAAAACAGTGATCCAGTGGTACAGGGCCCAATCTTATGATCAAGGAAAGCCTGTACACAATACATTTTTTTGTAAGACATATGAAGCAAGAAATATGAAGCAAATAGCAGAAAATGCCTGTTTTCAGGTCACTGTCCTGTGATATTCTTTAAAGTGCAGTGCCATGAATAAAATCCCCTGAACTTACAGGTCTAATATAGGGGCAGGCAGTGATTCACAAAACTTTTGACTCGTAACTATTCTGCAACCAGTGCGGTTCTCTCAAGCACAGCTATAAATATGTTTGCATCTTGGATCCCCACTCCACAACTTGGCCACAGTGTTCTGTACTAGCTGCAGTCTCTGTACCAGTTTCAAGGGAAGCTCAACATAGAGCGTGTTACAGTAGTCCAGTTGAGATGTTACCATCACATGACTCATAATAGCCAATACATCCCAGTCCGGGAAAGGACGTAGCTGGCGTACCAACTGAAATTGATCATGGGTGCTCCTTGCCACTGAGGTCACCTGGGTGTCCAATGAAAGAAGTGAATGTAGGAATGCCTCCAAACGACATACCTCTTCCCTCAGAAAGAGCGTCTCAGACCACATAACCACTCATTGAAAATGTCTAGTCATGGCAAGATTCAGCCTTAGTGTGTTGGTTGGCCCTCATCCAGCTACCAGAATGTCACCATTTCACCATGTTGAATCACACCAATGGTCTCTGATTTTATATATCTGAAAAGTAATGAACAGGAAACTCAAGTATTTAACAAGGAACTTTATTTGAACCATCAATTCTTAACAATGATGTTAAAAATGCCTGTTGCTCTCAGTTTTGATTCCTTGCTTAGCGCTCCCCAGACTTGCCATAAAACCACCCATGCAGAACATTTTAATTCCTGTTCTTGGTCACCTCACCAAAAAGTCACTCACAATGGTTTCCCCTGTCAGAATGGTCGTGTGAATCCAATAAGAGAATCTGTTTCAGAAGATGAATGTGGAAACGAAAAGTCTCATAATTCTTGGTTTCTCAAAGCATTTGAAATTGAGAAACTGTCTTCATAAGCATTATAATAGCCTCTAATTTCACCTCAGCCTGTTTATTCACCTGAGGTGCTTCCCTTAAGGTTAGTTCCCCCACTTAACATTTCTCAGGAGTGGACTCTTACTTTTTTTTATTCAGGCCATCTGTTAAACATGAAAGCCCTTTTATTTGTGCCAATTCTATTAATTTCCCCCCTCTTATTGAGGAACTCTGTTGCTACTGGAAAAGTTGCTATCTGCTCTAACAAGAGCTGGTTCATTAAACAGTATCATCTGCAACAATTTGGATATGCAAATTTTCTTCCTCTTTTACTGGTTAGAAATGAACTTCAATGGGATTTTAAAGGGTTTTCAGTTGCCTTTCATTATACTAGCTAAAATATACAGATTGGGGGAGGAAGAAAAAGGAAGGCAAACCTATTCTCATTTTGAATCGCACAATCTCTCTCTCTCTCTCTCTCACACACACACACACACACACACACACACACACACAGTTTATACCCAATCTGGTTTTTTTAAAAAAAGTTATAACAATATATCAACCAAAGAATGTTAATAGCTGAAGTACATATATTTTAATACTGTAGTCATTTACAAATATGATGTTAACATTTCAGTCTGTGTATTAATTGATACTAGTATGCAGTGTTGATGTTCTCAGTTGCTGACTGGAATGTGATGGAACAATATTTGGCAGACAAAATTGTGAGAACTAGTTTTGTGAGAATAGTGGACATACAGTTATTTATTTGTGAGATGGGTAAATCTGGTTCTAGTCTGGATTTCAAGTTTTTGAAATGTAAAACAGTGTTTCAGCCTTTTTATTAACAGTGCATATGTTGCTAACAGTTCCAACACTGGCTACCAAAGCTCTGCAGAGGATTCACCATGTTCAGTGGGGTTTTCTCCCAAGAAAATGTGAAAAGGATTGCCACCTTAGTTTTAAAGTAGCTCCTGGACTCATTTTGTCAATGCCCATAATGTAAGACTAATACAACTAGCTGGTGCAAATGTATGCCGTTATTTTCTCTCAACACAGAATGATAGGATAGGAAAACAGACAGGAAGTGGGTTTCAAAGGTGGTGTAGTTCATGCTCACAGAACCCTTTAAAAACAGAGATCATAGCAATTGCAACGAGTTATAACTTTATTCTTGTAACGGTATCCTCAAGTCTACTCTATTTGTCAGGAAATCACCAGAATGGAGAACCATCTTGATTATTCTGTGTGTGTGTTTTAAAGAGATTACAAATTAGTCCAGGGCTATCTAAAAGGTCACCAATGTTATGCCCATGTTGTGGCGGTGTGTCCTATGGCACCCACAAAAAGTCTTAATAAATATCCCCTCAAAAATGTTTCTTCTCCCTGCTCAGTTCCTGTTTGCACTAGCTCACGTTGAACACACCCTCTTAAACATGTCTCCACATTTCACTGGATGCCAGCAATTGACACCCATCCTCCCACCTGTTCTGAACTGAGGAGAATTGCAAAGAGCTTCTCTCTGTGAGTGTAACAGTGGCTGATGTGCCTTCCCCACCCCACAGCTGTGAGGAGGAGCTCACACCATTTTGTGGTCCTGTCTAATTTCTTCTCTTTTAGATGTGGAAGACATGCCCTTATAGCAGCAGTTTTGAGTTATGCCATGACCCCACGGCAGCCATTTTATGACTGGTGCCCGCAACACTCTTTCAGTGTTCAAAATGTGCCTGCTGGCTGCCAAAGGTTGGCGTCCCCTAGCTGTTTCTTCCATTTCAGTACCAAAAATGGATAGGGGGGATGGAAAACTATCTCTAAAAGACCTTTTTTGATTGAGCTATGTTAAAGTCATTACACTGCTGATTTAAGTTAGTACATGTATTGTTGTGGTTACATTTCTGAGGTGCAGACAAATTGCACATACTAGCCCCAGTCCAATGAAAGTTAGTTATAATTTATGACTGCAATCCTAGACACACTTGCGGGATTAAGTCCAGTTGAACTCAATGGGACTTATTTTTGAGCAGACATGCATCAGTCCCACCAAAAGCAGTAGGAGTGAAGTTAGTCATGACTAACTTGTTCTGTTAGTTTCAAGGAGACTTCCAGTCCAAGTGTATCCACATGCTATGTACTCAGAAGCAAGTCCCCTAATAGTCCAACAGACAGTACTCCCAGATAACAATGCATAAGCCTGCAGCCATGCAGTCCCATCCTATGCATATCTATCTGGAAGTAAATGTGATCAATAGAGCTTGTTCCCAAACAGAAAGGGTGCATAGGGTTGTAGCCTTAGATTACAGGTAAGCTTAGGTTGGATCGAAGCTGCAAAATATATTTTGATAACTTGATATTACAGGTGGATAAATGTCTGGCATTGGGGAGGGGAGGAGAATCACAGCATGCCCATCAAATCCTCTGCCTCAGTTTTATGAATGCATCATGGACTCAAATTCATCAATTCTCTGTTTAGTGTTTCCTTTCCGGATCTTCCGGTAAGATATTGTATTGTATCGAGAATAACTGTGCCTGGAGATATCATTTTTCTTCACCAAGCTCAGCTGCTCAGCAGGTTTCTCAGTCTGAGAGTTACAGCTGGCACTGGCAGAAAGGAAATCCTTGCTGCCGCTCTCCAGCCTCTTTTTATGTTTATCCTCATTGCTTTCCTTCTGCATTATTTCTTCAGTGCCATCGAAATCTTCCTCTGCCATGGTTTCATTTTCTTCTAGTTGCGTTTCCTCTTTCATTGGCTCCTTGGGTTCACTCAGCTCCGCCTCTTCCTGTTTCTCCTCCTCCACCACCTCATTACTGCTGTAGACTTCTTCAGTCTGGGGTTCCTCCATCTTTCTTTCTTCCATCTTAGCTACTTTATGGTCTATAGTGCTCACAGGATGCTTCTCCTCGCAAAAGCCTGTAACAAATAACAGTGGGGTTACAGTGCAGTTGAGCTAGGGTAAAAGTATGGTGGCAAGGAGGCTGAGATGCAAACCTGGGAAATCCCTTGTTTAAAGTTTGCCGTTACCTCAGTAGGTGGCCCATGGGCATCCACTGTCTCTCAGCCCTACTCACAACCCACCTGCTATTTAAGACTAATAATACTGACGGGGTTGGCTTGAGGAATACTGAGATAATATATGTGGAAGCAGAATCAGAAGAGGTTTTGTCTTTGTAAAAACTGAAGTACCAGTGCGCATATTTTGATTTTAAAAAAATTAGCGGGTGCCAGTACAAAATGGCTGCAACGGGCAGCAAAAAAAAAAGAGGCGATGGTACTTTGGACCAGTGAGTACTGTCACAAAAAAGCAACAACAACAACAACAACAATATTGTACTATAGAATAATGAGATTGAATGGCCATGGTCCACATACAACACCAGCAAACTAAAGAGACTACCAGTGCCCTACAGATCAATCTAAACATTCACAGGAGTGGGGAATGTTGTTCTCCCTTCTGCTTTTCACGCTTTTTCTGAAATATATAAAGTAACTGTGCCTACGATCCTATACACCAGGGCTGGGGGACCTGCTTGACTACATCTCCCATCATCCCTGATCATGCTTGGCTGGGGCTGATGGGAGTTTATAAGCAAATGGACTAGAGACCCCATGCACTCTTCTCCACCATTCTTACCACCCTATTTTTCAACACTACTTCTAAGGAGGCCCAGTGAAGTGACTTGAATCCTGAAGCATGAGCTCTCTAGCAATATGCTTGCACTAACAAATTGTTAGTGAGGCATCCATAAAGGGGAAAGAGGGACACAGGAAGGGCAGGGGTTTACCAGAAATGGATAAAAAGACATAGGAACTGTCCCCGGAGCAGATAGTCTTATCATCATTATTTTGCAGAAATTTATAACCATCTAATTTTCCCATTCTACCACCACCACACACAAATTAGCAAGATAACTGAGGTGTAACATACAGTGCTTGAAAGCCTTGAAATAGATATTTACTAAATGTGGCACGGATTGCTATATTTTCTTGATTCAAAGTGCAACTAATTGTCTGCAAACAGCCACTTTTCTCAACCATCTTATTAGGGTAATATGCCTGGAATTTTTCAGACAATATCTGGTCAGTAGGGGGATTCTGAGAGGTCAGCAGGTAGAGTCTGGTATCTTTTTGACCGGTCAGGAGGTGGTACCATAGGAGAGCAGCCTAGTTTGATACTGGCTTACTCAGCAAAATACCTGATATAGACTGACCACCTATGCATTCCCAACAAACAGAAATGCACCCCCCACCCAATAAAAGGACAAAAGATGATACGGATTCGTATGAAATAGGCTTATGCTAATTTATATGTTCAGGTGCACATTTAGAAATTACTATAATCGAAACAGAAGCGCATTACACAGTGGGAAAGACTGTGATGGCGTGACCTGTCTTGCCTGCTCAGTCTCCTGTTCTGGTGGTAACTGTTGATGGGCAAATGCTCTCCCTTCTTATGGTTCTTAACCTTGAAACAAGATTTAAACTAAGCAGCCTTTCAAACCCAGGACTGTCCTCTGCAAGTAGGACACATGGTCACTCTATCCTAATATCTAACTGGGCAAACATACTGAATAAGCAGCAGACTATCCAACTCTTGGTTGGGCCTAGTAGTGTTACAGTGGCTTCAGTCCTTCCTGGAGAATCGGCCTCAGAAGGTGGTACTGAGAAGCTTATTTTCCACCCTCTGGCCAGTAGGCTATGGGGTACCTGCTGGGAAAAGTCATCTAGAGGTTTGAGTCACAGCAACATCAGCATGCAGGTGACAGTCATTTCTACCTCTTGTTTCCAACTACTTGAAATTATTGAAAAGTGTGTGTGTGCACCCCACTGAAGTGCAGTGTGGCTTACTAGATAGCTCAATGGTAGGATAGCCAGAGAAAGACATAGTGTCCCATTAAATTGTCTACAGCAGGACCAGGGAATCTGTGACCATCCCAATGTTGTTGGACTCTAACTCCCATCAGCCCCAGCCAACATGGCTAATGGCAGTGGCGTAGCGTGGGTTGCCAGCACCCGGGGCAAGGCAAGTAATTTGCACCCCCTAACCCGTGGATTTGCGCCCCCTAACCTGTGGATTTGCCCTAACCCCAGATGTTGCGCCCGGTGCGGCCGGCCCCCCCTGCACCCCCCACGCTACGCCACTGGCTAATGGTCAGGAATGATGGGAGTTGTGGTCCAAGAACATCTGGAAGGCCACAGGTTCCCCATCCCTACCCAAGAGTCCAGTCTGAATGAGAAAACACTAACATCTGGCTGTGGTTAAAGGAATGCCATATTAAGATAACTATGCTAGGCCTTCTATTGTAGCGTCTTTCAAGATTTGCAGTATTTTGCCAAAGTCATAAAAGTTCAGTGCACTTCTGTAAGCTCTGCGGAGGGTGCGCACGCTGATAAAATAGCATCACTTTGTGCCCCTCTGTGTGGCACTGGATATTGATGGCTTTTGACATGTAATTAAAGTGGATCTAAATGTATGGAATGACTTGCCAACAGTTGTTATGCAAAATCCAAATAACCGGTGTTAATGCGTTGTCAAGATTGTGAAATCGCACACTTAGCAGGCATAAAGCTATAAAAGCAAAAAAGCCTTCTCTTATCAAACTTGATTCAACCTGAACTATTGGGTCACATTTCTACAAGCTTCCTGCATGGATGTTCAAGGTGAGAAGGGATATCAAAAGCCCTTCCTAAAATAGTCACCAGAACATAGGCATACATGCAGCTTCGTGATGCAGCTTTCTGCAGCTTCGTGATGCAGCTTTCTGGAGAAAATATTTAAAGGTGGAAGGAACCATAACCCACTTTGGGAGAGACATGGTAATTCAGTACCATCCCCTGTTTCACTTGTAATTTTCAAATAGGGCAGGCATCTATTTAAATTAATAGGAGTACCCAATGTGGTTTCAGTTGTGGCACTATACAATCCTATGCACACTTGTTAGGGAGCAAGTCTCACTGAACTTAATGGGACCTATATCCACATAAACATGTGCAGGGCTGAGCTGTATGACTAGCAGGAATGTCGCAACACATGGAGAGCCACATAAAAAATGATGTTAGCAAAATTTGCCAGATTATTCTCTGGATGAAGAAGAGCTGTATGGGTCGGGGCAGAAACTCCTCATGGTATTTTTAGACTTCAATCCTATACACTCTTACCTGGGAGTAGGTGCCAATGAACCAAAAAACATAAAAGTTACTTCTGAGTAGACCTAGGCTGTGTACACACCATATATTTTAAAGAACATGGCTTTCCCCCAAAGCATCCTGGTATTCTGTAATTTAGCCCTCACAGAGCTACAATTCCTAGCACCCTTTACAAACTACAGCTCTCAGAATTTATTGGGGGAAGCTGTGTGATTTAGATAGGTTTTAAGCATATGGTTTGCATGCAGCCATGCATACCATTTCACTGTTACTCATATTAGCTAGAACTCAACACGGACAAGGAATGTGATCTGCAGATAGTTTCTCTGCAGAACTTATAATAAAGAAGAACTTTGCAAGTGTTGCATTCAAACTGGCAGCTATTGGAGTTTCCAAGTAGATTTTAAACAATTGGTTCATGCCCACTGGTTTTTAAAAAGTATTTTTGAACCATCTGCAGGGGGTTGCACTAGATGATCCTCAGGGTCCCTTCCAACTCCACAATTCTAGGGTTCTAAAGTGTGTTGTTTCAGATCTCTAGAAATATCACAAGCAAAGAGGCTGCCTATATCTGCAGGCTTCATGAGAATCTCGATCAGGCAAGTCACTCAGGTGCTTACCTCGCTCTTCCCATAAAAAGAGGCACTGAAGATGCCATCTCCAGGACTAGGTACCCTTCCTGCCTTCATATGTCACCTTGGGAATGCAGACAAACACTAATAAGCGTGCCATTTCTGAGACTGGTGTTAGGTGTGAACACATATTGCAAAAGCACCATTTTCCCCCCAGCTTTGCCAGAGTTGGGATCCTTAACGCTGTGCACAAAAACACGGGAAAGCAAAGGTTCTGGTGGTTCTGGTTAAATATTATCTTACTTCCATTTTGTGTTTCTAACTACAGCCCTTGTTGACCTTTCTCCCCCATATAAGACATTGGTCCATGAAAGATGAGCAGAGTGGTTTTTGCTATCCTTGCTTAAATTGTTACACAAACTGCCACCAGGGAATCTAAAGTCAAGAGAAAGGTAAATGGCAAATGTACCTTATATACATAGGCATGAACTGTCTAAACATTTGCCTCCTTCTGAAATATAAACTTTCTTAACAGAGCTGTGCCTATGCTAAGGAAACTGAGGGGCGCAGGGAGTATCCTCAAATAGAAGATAATGCACACCAGTTCAATACAAGTATGTACCTCACTCTGTTTAAATTTCTCTGCATAGTTAACAACTTCATGTGGGATTTTCCAGAAAATCACAGCTGAATTCTGATTAACAATCGAGAGAATAACCTGAATCATACAATTCCTTCACACAGGTCTGTATGCGCCTGCCTACCAAACGATGCAACTTTGGTTGGAATGTAGAATTCAGTTTCAGTCCCTACCAGTGATCATCATCACTGCCCAAGCTGACCATACTGACCATCTGTTAGAAGCTGTGTGCAGAAAAGCAAATAGGATAGGTATCCATGCCCAAAGCCCCAGAAAAAGGAAACCAAATGTGCATCACACTCCATGGGATTCAATCCAACATATATATGTTTAGAAGCCTGTCGTCCCTTGTTTGTTGACAGCGATGGTGTTTGCTCATTAAGTGGAAGCTCATGGGCAGTCAGACCACTTGCATGAATGATTTCAAACCAGCCATAAAGGTTATGTATCATAGAAGACCATTTAACAATGTAGAGTATATATATCTTGTCCCTATGCATGAAATTTCACTTTGCAACATGCTGCAGTTGCTGCTGTGTCCAGCTTCACACATGCAAAAGCAGCTGCATCATCGCAGCAAGTTGGAAGATATTGCAAGAGGCTAGGCTGCAGTTTCCATTATTAGCAGTTGCCACAGGTGGGAAGTGCCACACTCTACTGCAAGTGAAGTTATTACCTTAATTATCATTTCTAAGGCCACAGTAGGGTCCAGATTTTTGTTTATTTGATTTGGTTTTTTTTTTACATTCCCTCATCTCCACAGCAAGCTATGGCACCACACAATCCAAGGATCATCAGTGACTGAGACTATATATAACGTTCTAGAAACTGCAAAAACTAAGCAAGAGCAGAACTTGGGTTGTCCATGAAACATTGACCATTCAGCCTCCACACAGGTGTTTGTAATATAACAGGGTTATTAGACTGGAAGATAATAGGGTTCCTTAAGCAGAGACCTAAACACAGGTCTGCTGCAGGGATTTCCCCCTAATCTAAGGGAAGAAAAGGGAGAACATTATCTGAATGTGGGGCTGTGTTTAAACAGGACACAGTTAATTCACTGTGCCTGAACAGTACCTTAAATAGGAGACTACTGGTTACCCCCCGATTCAGACTTTGTTTATTGCAGTATAGTCCCTTAACAGGGCTAGCCAAAGCCATTTTGCTTTCTGAGACAAAGGACAAAATGGCACCCTCCCCCATTCTACAAGCAGAAGATGTGTCATGGGCCAGGAGTCAGCTTTGCCTGCTGAACAACAGCCTGAAGGGGGAGAAAGCGGAATGACTCCACCTGCAACTGATCAGCCTTCAAGGACACAGAGGAGAATGTGCTGATGAGAAACAGCTGGCTTCAGGCTTCTTAAAGCAGAGCTTCCAGAAGCAGTCAGATACCGGTAACAACAATTGGAGTTCTGGGCCCTACCTTGCTGCTTCCTGGTTGTTTTGACCCTGGACCCCCTGATCATTGGATTCCCTGACTCCTGGACTGTCTGATCACATAGATTGCTGTTCACCCAACCCTAGGACTGGACCAGACTTTGGATGCTGTCTCTGTCTCCAGGTAAGTACATCTCAGGCTTCTCACTCCATTGAGCTCTGCACATTGTTGCTCAGCAACAAAACTACAACAAGCTGACTGGTCTGGTAGTCAAATCTTATTTCCAGCCGTTGCAACAGAATATTTTTATTTATTTATCCTACCCTTACTCCCAAAGGGGCGCGGAGCAGGAAACAATAATAAAACATTTTTTTTTAAATTAAACAAAATCTAAAAGTTAAAAACAGCTATCTCAGATTACCATATTTTATTTAAAAAATATATCCTGGCATCCGCGAAGTTGTTGAGCAAAATTTGGAGCTGCTTCCACTGCTATTTCCATTGTGTTTCCATACATCCCGGTTTTCCCCGATTCACCAAAATTCCCCCGATGCCATTTTTACGCCCAAAAAACAGGACATGTCATGCCCTGCTCATGGTCCTGCCTTCTCTGCCAGTTTGCTGGCTGCTCCTTTAAAGGTTCTGACCTAAACATAAGAAAAGTCCTGCTGGACTGGGCCACTCACAACCCTAGTAGCCATTGACAGCCCCCCCCACACACACCATGAATTGGTTTAACCCTCTTTTAAAGACATGTTTGTGAGACCCGAGTCACACTATGGGCTGCCTTGAAGAGACTAACCCACCTATCATTATGTGTAGTATTTGTTCTTTATTGTGCAGCAAGTGCACCCAGTTGTGTGCATGGCTACTCGGCTAAGCAAGTAGCCATATGGATTGACCAAGCACCACATTGCATTACCCGAAGATAGGCAGGCTACATGATCATTTATACGGGTGTCGCACACTTGTCGCATTCAACTCCTCTCTGGCTTAATTGGTGCTTTAACGTTGTGACAAAATTCTCCATTCAACTTCTGCCTATGGTGTCTTAAGTATTAATTAGGTTGAATTGGATAGGTAGTAAAAATGCTGTCTGCAATTTAGAGATAAAGTGCTTGTGCATGGGAGTTGGGGAGGGGAAGGTGTCAAATTTTACTTAATAGGTTTTATTGTGTGCTTGTACAATGCAGCGTGAATGCAGATATGTGTTGGCGGGAAAAGCCATTCTTCACGAGCTGAGCTCTCCAAAATACTGAGGTTTTAAGACTGACAAGGTCACTTCTGATAAATGTGTAGATTATACCACCACCACCTTTCTGAAGCCAAGACAGCTGTAAAATTACTGTCCTATTTCCCCTAGACTGAAATCCAAAGCACAATGGGACTCGCATATAAGTAAATGTACATAGGAGTATGATCTAACTTGGTCCTAATTACTCTGCCTTTCCTAATGGAGTCTATTATTGGAGTCCAAACCATGATTTTAGAGAGATGGGTAGATAGAGCAGGTGCATAATATTTGTGAGCAAGAATGAATAAATGGGGGAGGGGGAGGGAGAGACAAATCACCCCTGCTGTGGGGCACAAATTTAGCTGTAGTCTTTCATCCATGCATCTTGTACCTGCACGTATCACTGACATCCTTCACTGGGATTTAATCCTGTATGCAAAGTTGGCTGTCGACCCTGAAGAAATAGCCACCAGTTTTAGTATAAACTCATATTGAGTTGAGCTCTTATCCCTAGACTGAATTAGCCTCAACTGATTTCCGTGAGAGAGACTTGTGCATGTGCTTAAGTGCCTCATTAAATTAAATTGGATCTTGGTTAGACCGCTAACAAAATCTGTGGCTTTCTTCCTACTTTTTAAAAAAGTAAGGCAGCTCTACTCCTCACCTTCTCTGGATTCTTCTTCCCAGCTTCTTGTCTCCTGGGAAAAGATGTCAGTTTCTCTCTCCTTGTTTCCCTCTGGCTCTCCTTTAGAAGATACAAGACAGTGTAAAATTGACATCTCCTACAAAGTGTTTACTGATTACAGCGGCAATTACTAATCTCTTCAGCCATATAGTGCAGCTTAAACCTTTCTGCCTGGAGTGATCTTTTCCCATTAGATTTTGATCTAGAGCCACTTGCAGCAGAAAATATGTGCCACAGCAATCAATGGAGCGACTTCCAGTGAAATGGAATGTAATGCCTTCCCCTCCATTTTTCTTTTTTGGGAGGTACACCAAACACTTAGAAGCAAATTCTATTGACAGAAATTAAAACTCAATTAAAATTAATAGAAAATCAGTGAAAGTTGTGCACAATCCAGCCAAAGTTAAAGTGCATCGATTTCAAAGAGAGAATGCAACACATGCTTAAATCTCTCTTGCTTTTAATTCTCATTCATTTCACATTTCCCCCATTCAGGAGAATTAAAAGCACTTAACTTTGGCTAGATCGTGTTTAGAACTAGATCCACATTTGCTTTTTAAAAAAATGTATATCCATATCAATAATGGGACAGATCTTTTTTCTTTTTCTTTTTTTTTCTTTTTTTGAGGGTCAGAGAAAATTTCAGAAAGTGTCAGCCACTGTTACTCATTCAGCACAAAGGATTTATAATCTTACAGACAGAAGTAAAAAGAACGCTTTAAGAAAAACATTCAAAACACTTATATTTCTCACATTTCATGAAAAATAAAAAGATCTCAATATAATAAAGCATCTCACATCATTCCCAAGACAAAAAGGGTGGGGGGGGATGCATAAACTGGCATTTTACCTTGAAGTTCCTTTAACCCAACTGAAACTTCGTATGCTGTGCTCTTTGCTAAATGTTTGCCTCCTCCTTCTCGGTTTCCTTGTGCAAGTGGGGAACCGGGAATAGGCTCTGCGGTTTCGTAAGGAAATATCTCGACAGAATTTGCAATTTGATCAATAATATCAATGACCTGGAGCTGAGGTTTTTCAGAGGGCACGTTCCGATTATATTCAGACATGCTGGTTGGAACCTGGACATCTTCTGTCATGGTTCCTGCAGTATCCAAGAGGTTCCTTGTGGATATGTGTCCAGAGATGATCTGGTATCCCAGAATCGCTGCAGAAATCAAACCATCCACCACTATCCCTCCCCCACCAAATAGATAGATATATTGAAGAGTCAACAAGCTTTCCGTCCTCCTGAAGTTGTTGCAGCCAAGCAGGGAATAATGTCAGGATTTGCCTTGGCTTTGTCAGAGGTCCCTTTCCAAGAGGCTTGTCCAATCAGCACTTTTCTTGTCACTTAGAGCCTTTCCCCGTTGCATAATAAAATGCACCATGTCAATTTACATAAACAAACAATCTACAAGCAACAAAGCTTTTTGTGCTGGCATGCAGGAGTGGGGCTTTCAGCATGTCAGCCTGGCAGTAATAAACAGAGATTGTTGTCCTTGTTGTCATAAATGGCCCTTTGTATGCCAGCCTTGTAACAGGAGTGGCGATTGTTCTAAATCTTTAATCCACACCAAGTGACTACCTTGAGTCACATTAGCTGTGAGTTAACCAGCTTAACATTCCCAAACAGGTTAAATGTTCTGCTTAAACCTTGAACCGCTCTTGTTCGGACAAAGAGTCCATTGGAAACTTGTTGAAAGTGGGAGGTGAGGGAGGTAGGATTGCATGCAATTGTGTCACTTTCAGCTATCCTTCTTCCAGATAGCTCTGTGTTCCATCTGCTGCCATCACACACCCACACCCACGGGCCCAATTATTTCCATTTTTAACCTGTCCTTACCCACAAAAGCTCATAGGTTGTTTTTCTTTTATTGCTTTAAAACAATTGATTTAAATTATATGCTAAAAGGATGGGCATCCAATGCTCCGGATCTTTTAACAATGACTTTAAATAAGAAATTTTGTCTGGTCCAGTTTTTCTTACTGGTTCAAGCATCACAGTTTGGCAAACGACAATTGTCTTTACCATAGGAAGAGCTCTCTTGGATCAGTCCAAAGCCCAGCCTTTTATTTCCACAATGACCACAGTAATAAACTGTTGTTGTTGTTGTTGTTGTTGTTGTTGTTGTTGTTGTTGTTGTTGTTGTTGTTGTTGTGTTGTTGTTGTTAGGGTTATTATTAATTTGTACCCAGCCACTCTGGGCAGCCGCCAACAGATATAAAAACATAATAAAACATCAAACATTAAAAACTGCCCTATACAGTAATGAGTGCTATTTTTCTAGAAAAAGAGGTGTCAGAACTCACCACGAATGCCTCCCTTGTTCTCTTATGAAGGCAATGGCGCCCAGTAATGTATACTGCAAACTGTATCTATCCAGGCAAGGCTTGCTGCACTCTGCACATGAAGGAAGGTGTGTGTGTGTGTGTTGTGAGGGCATTACTAACCAATCTATGTGCCATATGATTCATCTTGTGGGGGCCACAAGATCCCCATGCCAGCCATGGCATAATCATCTGAAGATAGTTAATCTCATTTGCCTATGTTTATTTCATGTCCCTCTTTATGTCTGTACCCCACTTTTCCTCCCAAAAGAAGCTGGTCTTTAGAGACCTGACAATTATGAAGAAAATGAAATAATGCCCAAACCCAATAAAATTATCAAACAGGACATGGATCTCCCCACTTAGGAGTCCCAGTGACTAGCATTAGGAGGCATATGGCCTCTGACTTTGGAGGTAGAATGCAGCCTTCAAGAGTAGTTGCCTTAGCCTCCATGAATTGATAGCCTGATATTTGATAGCTTTATCCTCCATGGACTATCTAATCCTCTTTATTTTATTAATTTTAATTTACTTCATTAATTAAATTTCTATCCCACCCTTCCACACAAAGGAGTCCAGGGTGGCAAAAGCCATCGTTACATTCTGTGGGTGGAAATTCCATAGTTTAATTATGTGAAGTTCTTTCTCTTGCTTGTCCTGAATCTTTCAACATTCAATTTCATTAGACAGCCCCAGGTCCTACTATTATAAGAGCAGTACTGGATTAAACCCTGTGGAGGCCCCTAAGCAGTCAAAATCTTGGGGTGGGGTGGGGTGGGCATGCTCTAGTGGGATAACATTGAACTAAGGAAGCTTGATGGTAGTTTACTTACAAGATCAAATCAATATTATTTTGATCCATTGTTGCAGACTCCTAAAAGGCATGGGGCCATAGACCGCTGCTTGCTCTGCCTATTTGGTAATCTGACACTGTATGAGAGGGAGAGAAACTCTAATCACTTTCTCCATACTGTGCTTAATTTGATACACCTGTATCATGCCCACTATCCGCTCGATTGCCTTTTTTTTCCAAACTAAAAAGCCCTAATTGTTGTACCCTTTCCTCACATGAGGGGGAAAAGATGGCTGCCCCCCACAACACTGCATGTGAGAAGCCACCTTTTCCCTGTACTGCCCTTACCAACAACATTATGTGTTCTCATAGCACCATTTCCAGGGACATTTCCAGGCCTGTTTTGCAAGCACATGGCAGTTTTGGACAACTTTTTAACTTAAAGGAAGTTAAATAAATAAGAAAAGGGTGATTTCAAGCTTGCTGAAATAGCTGTACAACTGAATTCTTCTTGGGGGAACCTGGTAGCACAACTAGTCACTGTCCAAAGTGGAGGTTGAATTGAAGTGGCTTGGATTTTCCTTTGTAGCACAACTTGTCGTGCTACAAAGGAAAAATGGATCACCTGATGTCATGGTTCACCTGATTGATGATTCAGAGGGGGGCAGGCAGCATATCCAGAAATCAGGGAACCCAGGATCTGGCCTGTCAGTCAGATCCAATTCACCCCTGGTTTAGAATCATCTCATATGACTATAATTTTATGAGAAAAAGCAACAACACACCAACCATTAACACTACAAAGGTGCAAAAAATATAAATCAGCTTCTAAAAGATCTCATTTGAATGTTCTCTAATTTAGACCAGTGCACATGGCAGAGCCATATAAGCATAACTCCCTATCTTGTGGGCTGCTAGGGTGCAGAGGATTGTTCTTAGCAAAAACCATGAACAGTACATAATGTGTATAGAAACCCTCATATCCCTGGAACAGAATTACAAAGCTAGGGAGCAACATACCTACATGCCCTTTCTCAATGGAACATGGTGCTTAGAGGCCCACCACCACCAACCAGTCCTGGTTGGACATATGAAGATTCCCAAGATTGGTTTTGTTTTCTACAACTTTGCTAGGCACTTCCAAAGTTTTAGGTGCTGAACAGCAGCCGAAACCCTGTTTTTAATCTGATGCTTCAGGAGTAGTCTGCTTGCTACCAAATCCATGTTTACCTGGAAAGATGTCCCACTGAGTTCAGTGGGGGTTATTCCCAATTACATAGGCATAGAATTGTTGCCTAGAAGTTTTCTATCAAATCTGGAAAGGCTACAAATGGCTATTGGATAGAGTAATCTTGGTCTTGAGGTCTAAGATTAGTAAATCTCCTGCCCCCGCAATTTAAAATTAAGAAATTACCCTGCATCTAACTGACCATAGGCAATTTTCACCCCATCTCAGCTTGATTCCTTACTTGCTTACTTGAGCCAACTATCTATGTTCTGCTGAATGGACTCATTTATCCTTAATATGCATCTGGCATGGTGCACCTTTTTTTTAATAAAAAAAATACTTATTCTTGATCCTGCTTGTGGATGAAATAGGCTAATCTAGTGCGATGCCAGATTTAGAAGAGTTTGGCCTTAATACATAAGGAGTTGGAGAATATAAACTTCAAGTTCTTTCAACTCTGCAAAGTCTTGTTCTCCTGGCGTTGTGAGAGTTCAGCCTTTCTCGAGAAGCAGTTGGCCCTTAGAAACCGGGTGGGGCTGGAGAGTCAGATTTAAATAAGCAACAGTAAAGAGAATGCAACACATTGCGAGATGAATCAGCAGCACTTATTTTATGCCTCCCATGAGACTAATTATCAAACAACTCCAAATATTAATATACAATCATATCCTGCTACCAGTACATTGCCAATGAAGGAGACCAGGAAGCAGAATCAGTCTGCATGCAGATTACATGGCTACATTAGGAACCATGCATTCAATTTTCATACAATGTGCAATTAAATGAAATGCAGCTACAGTGGTACCTCGGGTTAAGTACTTTATTCATTCCGGAGGTCCGTTCTTAACCTGAAACTGTTCTTAACCTGAAGCACCACTTTAGCTAATGGGGCCTCCTGCTGCTGCCACACCGCCGGAGCAAGATTTCTGTTCTTATCCTGAAGCAAAGTTCTTAACCTGAAGCACTATTTCTGGATTAGCGGAGTCTATAACCTGAAGCGTATGTAACCTGAAGCATATGTAACCCGAGGTACCACTGTACAGCAATACTTTCACATTATATCCTAGGGATGCTCACATGTTACATTCAATGTTGTTGAATTATATTTCTATCACACATTTTCTTTCAATGAGCTCAATTTGATTAGTATATGATCTGTGAACCTATGTACACAAATAGTTTTGTGCAGATTAACAGGTGTACATTCACACAAGCTGAATGTGTGTAGTACCTATTTTCATTGCAACACATGAACAAGCTTGTTGTGAATGGGAGTCTGGGCTACTTGTGGCACATAACAGCTGTACAGTGGTACCTCGGGTTACATACGCTTCAGGTTACAGACTCCGCTAACCCAGAAATAGTACCTCAGGTTAAGAACTTTGCTTCAGGATGAGAACAGAAATCGTGCAGCTGCGGCGCAACGGCAGCAGGAGGCCCCATTAGCTAAAGTGGTGCTTCAGGTTAAGAACAGACCTGCAGAACGAATTAAGTACTTAACCCGAGGTACCACTGTATATCTGTGGAGTTTAAGAAGAAGGTTTTATTTTAACCTTCCTGCTTGGCTCAGTTCCAGCACTGGGAAATGGGAGCAAAGCCCAGGTGGCCTCTGATGGTCCCTGAGCTCGCATACTTAAATCAAGAGTTGCCATCACTGTCATAAAGATGAGCTGGGAGGAGGTGACTCATTATCGCTATGGCTGTTCATGAGAGTCAAATGAGCTGTGAAGGTGCAGAATGAGCCAGGCTTTTACAAGTAAAAGCAGTCATGATGAGAAGGAAATCCCTTCTCCCCAAGTAGGGAGAAGCCCTATGTATTCTGCGACCCACATGTTCAAGGAACTGCCTATCTCTTTGGCAGCCCATGTGCCTGTTGTGGTCAGGAAATCAGGCCCTGCACCATATTACATCCGGATAATAGTATGGCAGAATAATAGAATAATAGCATTGCAGAGTTGGAAGGGGCCACGAGGGTCATCCAGTCCAATGCAGGAATCTTTCACCCAACATAGGGCTTGATCCCATGACCCTGGGATTAAGAGTCGTGCTCTACCGACCAGCCAGGAGTGGGGCCTTTGCTATCACAGGCCCAAAGCTTTGGAATACC